AGAAACTCGAGGAGTTATCTTGCGATGCCTCTTTAATCAATTTCATTTGCGGTACATTTTAGTCTTCCTGTCATTGTAAACAAATAACAAGTTTAACTTAAACATATCCCATAGTTTCAATTGCAGTGCTGTATTTGCCTGCACAAGAATATGTCCGCTTACCGCGGTGTTATTTATGTTGCCAGGGTGCATTATTTTATCGGCTGTAATATATGTTACTGTCACTGTAGTTATTATTTATACCGGTTTGATGTATTTTTAATGTCGCGATGATTTAAAGACAAACGGTTTTCAGTGACTGTTTTTGCCGCGGTCTTGTCTAGTCTAGTCTGTCTTGTCAGGCATATTTTGTTTCTGGGTATTTCTTGTAGACTAATGCGAGATTCAAATTTTTCTCGTGTGCTCATGGATGGATCCGCGGAAATCCGGTTTAAGTCACGTTCAATGGCCCAACGGTTATATCTCTGGTTTTCATTCAGAGGAATCAGGTTCGAAACCTTAGTAGCTGATATATACATTTTGTCTGCACTTTGCAACAACAACAACAAGACAATATTAACCTGAGCAGTTTGTGCACTTTGCAACAACAACACAATCTTAACCTAAGCAGTTTGTGCACTTTGCAACAACAACGCAATCTCAACCTGAGCAGTTTGTGGCGACTGCACTGTCAGACTGGCGTGAATGGTCAGGTTTGAGGCAACCCCCCCCCCCCCCCCCCCCCACCCCCCCCCCCCTCATAAACAGGATAACTACGAGCTGCAAGTAGTTTTCTTCACAATTGTAAAGGTAAACAGAAAAGCAGTAAGGAATAGGATTATTTATAGTAAAGATGAGTGTCCTAGACGGACAGAGATGGTACTTTTTTGCTTTGCTTGCTGTGAAAAATAATCGTCTTGTTCAAGCAGCATCCCTGAAAGGGGCGGGGGGGCATTAGGTTATAATTGTGACTAGGTTATGTGCGCCACATAGCCTTGCACGCCACCAAGAGCCCTAAATAGGAATCCTGCAGTGTTGCTGCAATCAAAGAAGACTGACCCAAATACTGTCCCGACCGGCGACGAAGTCGTCTACCAGCGAGCCAATAGACGATGTGGGGAGACGGTATTTGTATTTTAGTTCACCCCACTACAGAGATTCCCAGCTTTCTAGGGGAGTCCCCGGGAAAGTCCAATATTTTAGGGGGTGAGGCTAGTGTTAGTCGGTGTGCATTGCACACACTAACACTTCTATACTATTGGATTTTCCCGAGAACTCCCCCACCAAAATCTGTCGGAATTGAGAGAAAAGAACCAACGGGACACACTTTGTGTCCTAGCTTAAAGGGGACACATTATCTACTGTTGTCTTTTTTTTTTTTTTTTTTTCTTACTTTTAACACTAAGTGAAGTCTACTAACAATTTTCTTTCTCTTTGCAGTACAATGAATAACACCAGCGACCACCAAATTTGCCTGGCGACTTCAATATGATGGACATCAGACCACTTGTCGCTTCTCCTGACCCGCTGAATTCTTCTCGCGACCTCAGGTCCCTTCATTCAGTTTTCGCACCCAGAGACGCCTCCATCATGATCATAGACGGTACCAGCCACAACTCGGCCATGCCTGTATCCCCCAAGCAAGGGGAGACTATAGCCGCTGACAGTTTGAGTAAACAGGAACCACACCATGTGTCTTCTTCTTCTTTGACATCTAGTTCATGGGAACATTTATCCAAATCTAAGCCATCGTTATCATCATCCTCCACCACACCCTCGCACCATGCGTTGCTTGGTCAGACCTGGACATCAGTGACCCCAAGGTCATTATCGCCTGCAGGGCAGGTTAAAACACACAGAGACGCCACAGAGGTGGCAGACAGATACCAGACTAGCCAGATGAGTGCAGATACACGTTTTGACTCTTGGAGCAACGGCAGTGGTCACCTGAACTCTACTACTATATCATCACCCACTATTTCATCTCCACACAATCCACAATCACCACCGAGGAAGAGAAAGTTAGATGACAGTGAAGAGCATGAAGAACTACCTTCTACAATCATGTCCGCCTCGAAAATGTCCGCCAGAAACTACGATAGACCTGACAGTTCGCCATCACCACAGTCACAACATAACTCCAGCTTTGATGAGGCTGATAATACAGGATCGGAGGCTAATATGCAATCCAGCGATAGTTTTGTTACAGGCAGTATGAATATCTATGGAAGCTTCGAGAGAAGGTCCAGAAGGAAGCCAACAATTGGGGATATAGTCAGACGAGTTAGACCTCCAGTGGATGTTCCTCCTTACGACAGTGGAGAAAGTGAGACTGAAGATGATATACTTCAGGATGAAATGCTTGAGGCCAAGCTGAACCGTGACCATCAAAGTGATGAAGTTGATGGCATGATCAAGGCGAACATGAGAATGGTTGTTGATGGAGGATATCGAGGAGAGACCAGAGCTTTCACTGTTCAGAGATTGACAAGGCTCGAAGATGGAGATGAGGACAACGATGAAGAGATGGAAATGCGCTCTGAGAGTGATAGCACTGATGAAACTGACAAACATGCCTTTCTCAAGGATGTCCCAGATTCTGTCTATAACCTAATGCAGGACGTCAAGGTAAATGCACATACTTTGTTTATGAAGTCGGCCAGCACGCTGCCACCCATGGAAGCCAAGCTGAGACGGGAGCAGTACCTGCTGCAGTTGTTGTCAGACCTACGGTTTAGATGTGAAGAAGAAGGTCTGAAGCCTGATGTCATTGGTGCTATTCTTAAAGATGTGGAAACCGAGGTCACATATCTCAGTGAAGACTTTGAAGACATAAAACCGAAACAGTATTTCTCAAACACCGACAAAGAGTCCTGCTATAATGGCATAGACGGACACGAAGGTCACTTCTTATCTAGGCCAGACGACAGACTCGAAGAAGAAAAAGACAAGAAAGAATCATACAGCCATGACTCTCATCATTCCCCCGAGCACCCACCTTCATTTTTCACTAATACTTCGGTATCCTCACAACTGCAAGTGTCCAACACTTCATCAACAACAGACTCGAAGCCAATCATTGTGACAGTTTCTGCTGACATGAAACTCCCACCACCTCTCATATCCACAAGAGGAGGGCATCCTCCCCACCTTCCCTTGCCTTCCAGCCTCAGTGACCACGCCTTTAGCCCCATGTTCCCAAGCAACAAATTTCGTTCATGGCTGCCCCCAGACTTGGTCAGCAGTATGGCCATGTATAATTTCAAGTGAGTCATGTTTCGTCTCTCTAGTTCGTTAACAACGTTGCCCTTTATAATTTCAATTAAGTCCTGTTTTGTCTCTATAGTTCGTTTACAACGTTGCCCTTTATAATTTCAAGCGAGCTCTGTTTTGTCTCTCTAGTTCGTTTACAACGTTGCCCTCGATAATTTTAAATGAGTTGTATGTCAGTTAGATTTGATTAATGATATGCTCAGTTTTACCATCTAGCAAACTTCATTGCCATATCTGATTAAAAGTGTTGTCAGTTACAACAGTAGCTGTACACCCTGTATCAGTTCTAGTGAGTTCAAAGTTTTACGTCTAGAAGATAGGATATGGTCGCATGTAAGCAAGTTGAAATATTCACTGTTGAATGCTGAATTAAGAATCGACATCACATCCCTCGGGACACCCCAATAAGCGCTCCGTCCCTATCTTCAGCAGCACGCAAAGAGTTAAAATTCCGATCTTACCATAACTGTATATGTATATATATATATATATATATATATATATATATATATATATATAGCATATATATATAATATATGTATATATATATATATATATATGTGTGTGTGTGTGTGTATTTCTCGCCTTTCCCCTGAGTGTCGAGCGTCGGCCAGATCCCCTTGTAACTCCTCGCCGGGAAGAAGCACAGACGCAGTAAATATCAACACTGTATGGACTGGGCTAGTGGATAATGACGATACTAACACTAATGCGTGACCTGAGAGTAAACGATGGTGAAGCACGTCTATGCCGCCGACGAGACTGAGATAGGATACATTATACCCAACTTAAAATGAGAACAATAAATAGAGGTATCTTGAAGTCGTCGTATGTGGCTCTGCGTTGTGAACGTGCTTCGTAATGCCCGTGTGCAGGGCTCGATCCTACCAGCTGGCGAACCATTTGTCTTGCGTTGGTTTCGACTGTGGTACCGAGAGCTGACCGTCCAGGACGCAATGGTAAACTGCTGTGCGTAAACTATGCCTTAAAAAACCACAATAGCCCCCCCCCCCCCCCCCCCCCAAATGCTGGAGTTGGTTCTGCAACGTCCTGAAAAGCATACGTAACTAACTTTAACCTTAGAGTGGCAGCTGCAACGGAGGACTGAGCACGCACAGGAATACCCAGTGTGTGGTGACGTAGATTGTGATAACGTAACAATTAAAAAATGGATAACAAAAAAGGATCTAGGAAGTATTGACGGCCAGAGTTATATTGGATAAATCACACATCCAGAGAGGATAGTTTTTTTTTTTTTTTTTTTTAATGAGGCTAGCACCGAAAACTGAATAGCCTTTATGCCATCCTGGGAATCGTCACCTGAGCTACCGAGTGTGTTCTTGGCGCGACGCTCATGTGGCGGTTACCCATCTGTGGACAAAGAAGGAGCCATATGGAATTGAAATGTACTTACTATACAGCCGGCGTTGTGAAGCGACTAGACACATGCCTGCGGGTCTGAAGGTTGTGAGTTTGAGTCCTGGCGGATCGAACTTTTAAAAAATTACTCGGCTCCCAGATCGTCCCAGCCTTGGGTGGGTACCAGGTAAAGTCCTGGGAAGTAAAGGCGGTCGGTGTGATTGTGACCATGTCATCCACCAAGTGCCGATTGGTCTATAAAATGTATGACTAGCCCTTTATGCGCAGTACGACTAGAGGGGCGGAGAAAGGCTCATTTGCTTTACTTGTATGTCTAGTATACTAGAAATCAGTTCGACAATAATATTTCATCTTCATTCTGTAGCTCCATGGGCGCCCTGGATCCTTATTTGGTCCGCAATCGCATCAACATGGAAGGCAAGATGGGCGACACCATTGACAAGGACTACCTGAAGTGTCAGTTCTGCGAAAGAACTTTCCGACGACAGAAGAATCTGGAGAACCATGTGGAAAACACTCACCAGGGGAAGGGACCGCTGAAGCCTCGACGGGACACAACCGACATGTACTTCAAATGTTCGCACTGTCCCTACACCACCAAACACCAGAGCAACCTCTACGTGCATCTGAGAATTCATACAGGTAAGGTATCTCTTTTGTCCCGATACATTGGTGTAACTATAAGTCTGCTAGTCTTGTCTGTATGATAAACAAATTAACATGTTTAAGTTTAGGTTTAGACGAAGGACCAACATCATGGCACAAGTGCTCCTATAAGTGCTCCGTTCTACATCTGACTCAAGCTCAAGTCCCAAGTTACTCAGCGCAGTGTACGAACTCCATAGCACCGGCGAGGATCCTGAAATACTTTGGGTAGATGTTTAATTCCAGATTTTGCTTGGGCAGCGCCGTTAGGCTACTCGTTTCGATTTCCAACTGCCAACGAATTTTTTAACGTGCGCAACAATACACGCGGGCGTCCGATTTTACTACCCAGAGACCAGGAAAAATTACTAGAAGTCCACGTGAAAAAATCCCAGCTTTCACTAGGGCTTGAACCCGGGACCTACAGCACTCGAGGCGGACGCCTTGCCTCAAGACCACGCAGCCCCCGAAATGTACAAGCTGGCAGTCGTAGTAAGAGGAGATAGGGGATATAATAGTACTGATCATCATCATCATCATGTAGCAGGTCCTTTGCAAAATGTCGCTCTCGTCACGATCAGCCTGAAAGAAACTCAGTCTCTCGCCAGCTCTCCCGCCTCGTGTACTTTCATACTCAAGGAGTCACTTAGTCGTCGTTTGTGGCTTAGACGTTGTGAACGCCCCTCGTAATTCCGAGATACCTGTGTGGATTCCAGCTGCTAGAGATCTGATTATTGCCTTGATTTCGACAGGGGTAGTGACAGCCGACTATTGGGTGACTATGAATAGTAAACTAAATCTAAAATTGCTTTTAAACCTAAACCCCCACCCCCATACCCTCCCACCCCCAAAAAGCCGGGTCTGGTTCTGTAATGTCCTGTAAAGGATACGCAACCAGCTTAACATAGTTTATATGGTTTTCCCTGCATAGCGAGTTACAGATCAGGGTTCAGTGTCCAGAAGTGGCAACCAATGCAGCTCTGGGGTTGTCAAAGCCTCAGACAAATGGCTACCAGATAGTTTCCCGGATTTTCTGGAATTTTTTTTTAAAGAAAGGCAATGAATGTCCTGGCCTAGAATGTATGGAGGCTTTAACACGTCGCGGCCACCGGCACTATCTGCTGGTGAAGGACCCTTTTATAAGCCTTTGTCGCATCAGGCCAGAAACTATTTTTTTTAACCCAATCGGCACTCCATCGGTGATGTGATCAACACTCCATAGGTGATGTGATAAACACTCTATAGGCGATGTGATAAACACTCCATAAGTGATGTGATCAACACTCCATAGGTGATGTGATCAACACTCCATAGGTGATGTGATCAACACTCCATAGGTGATGTGATCAACACTCCATAGGTGATGTGATCAACATTCCATTGGTGATGTGATCAACACTCCATAGGTGATGTGATAAACACTCTATAGGCGATGTGATAAACACCCCATAAGTGATGTGATCAATACTCCATAGGTAATGTGATCAACACTCCATAGGTGATGTGATCAACACTCCATAGGTGATGTGATCAACATTCCATTGGTGATGTGATCAACACTCCATAGGTGATGTGATAAACACTCTATAGGCGATGTGATAAACACCCCATAAGTGATGTGATCAATACTCCATAGGTAATGTGATCAACACTCCATAGGTGATGTGATCAACACTCCATGATAATGTGATCAACACTCCATAGGTGATGTGATCAACACTCCATCGGTAATGTGATCAACACTCCATAGGTGATGTGATCAACTCTCCATAGGTGATTTGGTCAACACCATGCTGACCGTTTTGACTTTCTATAACATTACCTGGTCCGCATTTTTACGCTGTGCTGGCCGAGGAGTCAAGTTCGGTTTTCACAGGTGGAAAAATCGCTCGGAATTTGAGTGCTAACATTTCGAGTCAGCAGTATCTGCCCCCCCCCCCCCCCCCCCCCGTTTATACTAATTCTTTCCCACACACATACACACACACACACACACAAGCTCACACCTACTCCATTTTTTATGGCTGGAATTTCCTAAACTGGTTGAAATAATTTGAGATGTATTTGAGGTCGAGTCTCGTGCTCGCTTTGTGGAATAAGGGACCTAACCATGTTTTCTTTTTTTTACTTTAGGGTTAATTCGTGTGTTCTCCCTTGTCTGTTTTTCTCTCTGGAAACAATTTACACAACCTGAAAACGAAGCATCCGTCAGTGTTACAAATTAAAATAAACAACGGACGTTCCTGGATCAAGCCTTTATCAGCAAACAACAATAAGAAGTAAAACACAACACACACATAGAGACAGTATCGAAGTAACTGCATTATATTATCAACACAACATGTTTCTATTCTAAATTGATGCAGGCTGAATGACATGAAATATCATCATCATCATCATATGCCCTGCCAACTGGCGGAGGCACTCATGCTTTTCCACATATCGCGAACGCTGGTTGCTGGAACAGCTCACTTGATGATATCCCTACATGCCATCACTTCAATCCATCCAGCATCATCTCTCTTGGTCTGCCTCTGCCCCTCTTTCCACTAATCTTCCCAGTTGTCACCATCCAGCATCATCTCTCTTGGTCTGCCTCTGCCCCTCTTTCCACTAATCTTCCCAGTTGTCACGGTGTTCTTCAACGTCTCTCTTCTCATTATGTGGATCGTCTTAACATCTGGACATCATTTACATGGAAAAATATGGTAATAAATATATGATATTGGGTAATATTAGTCACAGAATATAGAAATGAACATTTTACATTATGTAATAGAGACATCGGTATAGCAATAAAATTATCTTCTCCTGATTGAATATATTTCTCAGGTGAGAGGCCATACATCTGTGGAGCATGCGGAGTTCAGTACAGCCAAAGCCACAGCCTCAAGAGCCATATCATCAATAAACACGAAGGCATTATGTCATACTACATAAAGGAAAAACGAACTCGATCTCCTCGAGGTATGGGCTACCTGTCCGCCCAGGTCATGCATGACAACAACATCTTCAAGCTGCCGGGACCCATGATGGGCTCGCCCATGCACCACACCAACCTGGACATCGTCAACAAAGCATTGAGTTTGCGACATCTGAGACTGCCAAGCACCAGCAACACTTTAAGCAGCAACAGCATTTTTCACCACCTGGTGTTGATGGCAGTAGTCCCAGAGGTATGATGCCACCACCACTGACATCTGTCATCTCTAGTGACAACATGAGTAATAGCAACAGTAGTACCCAGTCTGGCACAGCCAAATCACCAGCTTCTCAAAGTAATGGTCAGAATGGGGAGCATGGAACCCCCACTCCAAACAACACCTTGTTTAATCCATCAGGCGTAGGTCATCACCCACCTTTCTTCATGAACAGCCATTCTCTAATGTTTGGGGAGCTTCCTCATCACCTTCGTAACCCCAGTCACATTGGAAATGGGCACCACCCTTCAGCACCTCATCCATTCCTTCATGGATTTCCCCATTTTCCACCAAATGGCTCCATGGGTTTTCACGGAACTGCTAACTTGTCACCTCTTTCGGGTCTTTCACCCAATTCCTCACCTGCCTCTTCAACTCCAAACTCCCACCACACACTTCCACCACACCTACAGCTTCCTGGCTCCCTTTCCAACCTGACACCATCTCCTATCCCACTCTTGCAGCAGCAGCAAATTAAGAAAGAACCCCAGGCACTCCCAACAACTCCAGTGTCATCCAAGCCCCGAGGCCAACTTGATGAAGCCATTGACCTCAGAAAGAAGTCTCCACCCTTGGACACCAAAGAACAGCATGCACATGATCTCCACTCATGTGGAGGCAAAGAAAACTGTGCCCATGCTGCCAAGCTGAAGTATTTACGCCTGAATGTTGTACGAATGTTGGGCATTTTAGTACCCAATTTAAACTTTGCAGAGAAAGGTATCAGTGCGGAGTCTGAGTCTGTCGATGAGCTTCTGCAGGATGTTATAGAAAGCAACACTCATGATGACGACATAGACTGAATGCACTTCTTCTAAGAGGCAGGAGAATAAATGGCATTGGTAGCTGCTACATGTGTTTTCCTACTGCTGCCTGATGAGCTAGTTTCAGTTTTCATATCGATCAAGCTGGTTTGAAGTGATAAATGAGATTTATATTTTGTTTCAAGAGCTGCTGTCCAAGTCTTCTAATGCAATAATTTAAAACTTTGGTGATGCAAAACATTTTTGAGCTTTTCCATTACAACAAAGACTAACTACAACCATGCACAACTTTAATTTTCAGAGTCACCAGATCTGGGCTATGCATGCAGGCAATCATGTTTTGTGACACGCTCTAGGTCCCATTGTGGTGCTAGAATCCAGCAAGTGGTCAGCTCACACATGTTCATTTTTCACAAGACTGTCTTTTTTTTTTTGGTGTGTCCTAAGCATTTGATCGGGAATGCAGTCTTGAAATAAGCAGCGTTCACAGCAGTATTAATTTTGTGAGACGTAATATATAATGAAAGATAATGTACAATATTGGACAGAGATTCTACGAAATGCAACAAACTTTAATATATAACAGTGTTCAACATATTGTTTTTATATTAACACAATGTTAAAATATGGAAGTTTGTGCTAGTAAAAGACATATTTTACTGTGGTTTTAAGTCAAGACATTGCAACAAAGTGAAAAAAACAAAAAAAAGTTTAAAAACAGCTCATGCAATGAACACACTAATTGGCCAGAATTTTTCCTATCTGCCACGAAATCCAAATGTATGCAGTTTTCAAGAATATGTTGAGGCAACTGCATCACTGCAAAATATAAATGTGAAGCATTCATTCTAAGATGGGAAATTTTGTGGAGAACTCTCCCCAATTTTGCTGCAGAAAATAGCAAATGTGTCATAGTGATTAGAAGAAGACAAGTCTGTTTCCTCTCTTGAAGATGTTACTTTCAGCATTTTTACAATTTCCAAGCTGTTTCACCAAAGACATTCTATTATAACAAATTATAACCTTTGTGTTATGTCGTTTATTTTCATGTTTACTATAATGAAATGTATACATTTATTTTTCAAGTAAATATGTGAAATGTTTAATACTACAGAGACAAAACATAAATGGAGTTGTACATAGAACTGGATATAATGTGAAGAGTGGAAAGAAAGAAAGGATTGAATTCTTATTTTCTGCTTGCTTTGAATCAGTAATTATACATTGTGCTATTATGAGTTAAAAAATTTATGACAGAAAAACTGAAACCAAATGTTTAGAATTTTTTAATATGCTGCTGATTTCCTTCCTTGTATTTATTTTTTTGGTGTGTGTGTGTCTGTTGTAGTCTTTTTCACTGTCTACCCTGGGGTGCAGAAAAAAAAAATTAGTCCTACGGTCTTGGAAGCCACACTTGGAATTGTACAACCAAATTCAACTACATAAGTTGTTGCCATTTCTATAGTGAATTATATATTATCGCAGTGATAATTAAGTACAGAGCAATCTGTTGCTATAATGCTAAACTGGCATTTATTGCTCTCTTTTTCTTATTCTGAGTGGTGGACCTAATGTTTCCGCTGGTCTCCCACAGTTTTGTCTTATTTATTGTCCTCAGTGTATCCCTTCTCTAGCTTCAGTATCCTGAAGATACTTTGAAGTAAGCATTACATCTCTCATATAATCTATGTACATTTAGGAGAAATTCTAAGGCAGTTGTATATGTTTAACTATTTCACTATTTATTCATTTCTCTACTATAATATTTTCTTTAGCAATGTCTTCTTGATCTGTGTCATAGTGTTCTTGTGAAACTGATCAGTAATACTTTCCTCAAGCTTATCTTTTCCATGCACATAATGCCGAAATAATGGTTGTCTGAAGTCCTAAATTTACAACAATGTTTAAAAGTAAAAACTAGTTTGTTTTACTGTTTAATTTTTTTTTATTTTTACTCTTCGATCCAGTGTGACTCTGTAGTTGTGTGGCTATTGGACTTTCAAGTTGTTTAAGTAACCTTTTGTGCTCCATTTTCCTGTCAAACAGTTATAAACATAATATACTGACATTACATGCCCCACCCCAAGATCTACCCAGCTAAAATAATTACAAAAGATATCCTGGAAGTAAAGGCAACATGCATGATATTGACCGCACAACCATCCAGTGCTGATTAGGTTTTTTTTTTTAAATCTATCACAATGTGCCCATGCTCCAATAATTTTAAAATGGTTTCTTATTTTTTTCAACTGCTTGTCCAACAGTTGCTGTTGTTGTTATCATTGTTGTTGTTTCTTTGTTGTTGTAGTTGATTTTTTATCAAAACATTCGTTCATCAGCAAGTTTTCTGTGAAGCATGCTAGTCATTGTACTATTTCTTCCAATATTATGTACATTTACTTACAAAAGCATTACAGATTTAACAGTAACAAATTTCTCTTGTCTGTACAATAACAAAATGTGGTGAAAGATCCTGATGTTTTTTTTTTTAACACTATACTAGTACTTACTAATGTTACATTCTTAAAGCAATTTAGCTTCATGACAAGATGTGGTAACATTATATATTTTTCCAGTCACTTGGTAATGTTTATCTTGCAAGTGTTTTGGATAAGTAATTGTCCGTGGTATACTCTTCTTCTTAGACCAGTCCTAATGTGTACTGTGTATAGTCATATAAACACAGTATTTGTGTTTTGAATCATTTACTTGCTGTGGCTGATCTTTTGTCATTCCCAGTACAGAACTGACAACACTGCTAAATGTCTGTCCCTGGTTGCATCTGCTTATGAATGTATCAAGCTTATTTGTATTTGTACAGTTATTTGTGAACACAGTTTTGAGTGAGTATTTTGCATATCAGTAATCATTAGTAAATTTTTTTTTTTTTTTGTAACTTTATTTTATTTCAATATTTTCTCATTTAGACTTTTTAATTAGCCACATTCGAGGATGGTGAGAGGCAAGTTTCGTAACCTAGCCCACTCTAAAGATTGTTAAACATCCCAGCCAGTGTTAAACACCACAGTCAATTTTAAACATCCTGTGGCTTAATTTTTTTGTTACCCACACTGGCTTTTGTATTAGACATCTCATATTTTTGACATTTTATGCATCCCATTTTTGATTATTTCTATCATTCTTCATTTTTGTTCAACATTCCACCTTTTATTTTTAACAGTATCCATACATCCACACATGAGTTAAAGATACAATACTTCTCAACTCCAGCCATTACCAGCCTTTTTTATTTTGGCTAAAAGTGTTTGCTGTTCTTATCTGATTTTTTTTTGAAGTATGTTCATTTTTATACGTTTGTTAACATTTAGTGTCAGTTCCATTCGTTATATTCCATGACAACATTTATCTGCTAATGAGTGGATACTGTATGAGTCCTGATTGTTTTACTTTTTAAGTTCTTACAGAAAAAAAATTTTGATTTGCCTACACTCTACGCATGAGTTAGTCATGGAAAGGTTAAATAAAGCAGATTTTGTTATTTAGAAAAAAAAATACAGCTTTCGATTGGCCTCTGCTTCACCTATGAGCTAGGTTCGGAAAGGGGGAAAAAAGCAGAGGTTGTTTTTTCAGAAGAAAACAATATAACCATACAAGCACAATTTTTGTGACTGCTCTCAATTTTAACAACTCATTAGAAATGCAGTAAATAATTTGCATCTCTTAGTGTATGGAAACAGAGTATGTCGGCCTGTACAAATACACTTTCCAAACTTGTTTTGGATACTTAAATTATAAACCATAAAATATTGTATTAAAAACTCTCACATCATGTGTTGGTCAATCTCGTTTCAACTAAAATGTCAGTTGTCCATTATGTTATACAGTATTACATTATACAACTATGATTTTTACTCTACTTGAATAAATTATCAACTGTCCATTATGCTATACAGCTAAACTCTCATTCCACTTCTTCTTCTGAGTGAGTGACTTTCTACCCCACTAGGACATTACACAAGCGATAAACACCCAATGACACAACGTGCCACCATGTGGATGAGGATCACCGTGGAGAGGTCCTAGAAACCGCGTTCAGACATTTGGCCATTTTTATGGCCTGCCTATATTGATGCCCCTGGCAAAAGCCAGAGTGGGGCTTCAAATAACAAAAAATTACGTCCTGAAAAGGACGTAAGGACTTGATGCTGTATACTTATTTCTTCTTCTGCATTCTTCTTAGCACTATCACATATTGTTCTGAATTACAACTAGACTGCAATGTTTGTGCCTTTTGGCCCAGTTCATCCAATTTTGCCAAACCCTTAAACAGTCAGTCACCTTGCATGGCATGCTTGATAAGAGGTAACAGGTCTTTTAATGTTGTCCCAAAAATTGGACCCTATGTTCACACAGGGATTACTTCACTAAAACAAGTAGTAAGCTCTCCCACAAACCAAGTTTTATTTCCCTTGAACAAATTGCAAAATTGCTGTTATAAATTGTAGCCAAACTTCCATTCCACTAAACAAATTGTTTAGGATCAATTTTATGATTGTAAACACAAATTCCAGTGTCACATCTGTATCATTCCAGAATGCTTGTGTTCACATTTACTGATCTTATTTGTTTACTGTTGAAAGTAGCCACTTTTATGTGTTCACATATCTAAGGATGTTAGAGCATGGATAAATTTTGAAACTTTAAATATATACCTTATATCTCATTATCTGACATTTATTTTTCTTGAAGTCCACATCCTGTGTCATTGGTCATTGTGTCTCCCCACAACCTTATCTCATTTTCAGCAAATCATTTCTATACAGATTTTTTTTCATGCCATTATGCCAACTACCTTCTTTTCTTCCCCAAGTTCTTTATTTTATTTTATTTTTTATTCATCGCATGCTAAAAAAATATGCACACTCTTCTGTTGTGAGTAACAAGTTCTTTTTGTGAGTTCATTTGTTTCATGACATCTTCGTTAAGTTGCCTTTTTTTTTTAAACAATTGTTTATTACACTCTCATCATTCTTCTATAAAATCACATCTCTGAGACTTCAAAGTGATACACTTCTGCT